TATATATATATATATATATATATATATATATATAGGGTGAGAGCATGTACGTTTCAAAGTTCGATGGCATGTTGACACAAGTGGCAAAATTATTGGGGACTCCATCTTTTTCTTTTTTTGGTGATATGGTGTATTGCCTATTGTTGCGTGATTTGTGCTCGGAAGTGCACGAGTCGCCTCAAGTAATAAAGTGTATGAATAAGAGTGTCGATTTCATGAAAAATGTATTTAGTTTTCGTTAAGTACCGAAAGTGATTGGCTCTAAGATTATTTGAACAACCGGAATAAACAACGAAATAAAGAAAGTAATAAAGATAACTAAGCAAACAAAATAAAGTAACGAAAATAAGTAATGGAAATTCTAGAGCATCAATTTTACCACAATTAATCCATGCTAATTTATACTTAAGTGAATCTCCTAATTCATTAATCAAGGGTTTGGAATTAACCTTATTATCTTTCTCGAGCGTCGAATGAAATAATATGCATAAATATTCGAGTCAATATCTCTATCTAACCCGCATACTTACACATTCATTAAGTTTATCCCTTAAATTGAAAATCAAATGTCAATCGCCTTTCGACCTCACAACCATCGAAATCCTAGTTGATAATCAAGGACCTGATCGCCTCTCAGTCTCACAATATCCTAGACTCTCAACGAGCATCTAAGTGTCGATCTGCTCTCAGACTCAAAACAACCTAAACTATGTTTCCCTAAACCTATATTCGAACAAAATCTCCCGAGTATTAAACCCAAATATCAAATTGACTAATCCATTTTCCAATTAAATTAGAGGCATTATTACAAGAGAAACACAAATGAATCATAAAAAGCACTTAAAATAAATGGACACTTCATAGTTAAGAAAAACTAAAGCTCTAGAGAAACAACTACTTCATAACTAATATTAAACAAATTAATATCAAGGGTTTTACTGTTTACAAATCATAAAAAATAAAAAGATGAGAATAGGACTGAAAAACCCATTTGTGAAGTTGTAACAAGCTCCAAGTTCTTCTTTCTTCTCCTCCTCTCATTCTTCTTGATCTCCAAATGTTTTCTCTCTTGATTATTTATTGAAAATAAAACCTAGATCTAACACTAAAAATTAAAATCATAAACAAAAAATAAACCAAAATATATTTTTGTATTTTTTTTCTTCACTCTCCAAAATGGCTTAGAAAAGCCTTATTAATTCTTTCATCTCTTCTTTGGGTTCCTTGGCTACTGTGCTAAAAGTGAGCAAAAAGGGTTCTGGTTCATGTCTCTGAAAGCTCTTGAAATCCCTTAATGAAAACCTCCCATTTCCCCTTGATTCACGCACAAGAGGGAGAGGCTTGGGGCTGGTTAATGGTGGACACGTGGCGACGATTGGCTGGGCAAGCTGTGGAAGTGGGAGACTAGGAAGACATGTGGGGCTCTGCGAATGAGCGAAAATAAAATAATTGATTTGGAAGGAAACTAAAATAGAAATTACTAAAATTAAACTAAATAAACTAAAATAAAATAAAACAATTCTAATGAAAATCTAAATTAAAATAAAACTAAATCCAATTAAATAAAACAAAGAAAGTCAAATAAAACTAAAATGAAAATTAACTTAATTAGAATTCAAAATAAAGTAAAATAAAATAAAATAAGTTAAAAATCTAAAAAATTAATCACTTTAAATGTAAAATAGTGAAATAACTCTATTTTTAATAGAGTTATCAAATATAGAAAGAATAACAATACTTTTGTGAGGATTGTCTCTAAGTTAATCGTGGTTAAAAATGGCGCAACAGCAAAGCAGCGATATAGTTTTGCATGGCAAACAGTAGGCGTGGCGCTGCAGCGCCGATTCTTGGCGCCGTAGCGCCTAATTGGTGAAGTTTGCGTTCATTAATAGAATGAGCGTTGATCTGGTAGCGCTATAGCACTGTAGGCCACATGGAGTAGCGCCGCAGGCTACATGGAGTAGCGCCGCGACACTGGTCGAGTGGCGCGACCAGTGTCGCGGCGGCGTTGGTGTGAAATTAGGAAAACTGAAACTGTTAGTTTTGGCCAAAATTTCCATTTTTTGATTTGGAAAACTTACCAATCAACTTTGTGACAACACAAAGGGCTTTGGAGGTTATTTAAGGGCTAGGAAACATAGAGAAACATATTAGAGAATCAACTTTTGAATTGGGATTATGAGAGAATAATTGTATTGAAGAGAGAACAAGTGAGAGAGTGAGAGAGAATTGAGAGAGGATTCTTAGAGAGTACTCTTGTATCATTATTGTAATCACTTGTGATTAATCATAATAGACGAAAACACCATATTACATGACATAGGATCTCACATTGAGATCTGAACCTAGATAAAATTTCATGTGTCGTTATTCTTCTCCTTTTTTCATTATGTATTTTCCACATTTATTTTGATTTCAGATTATTTGTTTGATTGTTTTTTTGTTTTTTTTTTTTTTGCAAACCGTTGACTTGTGCACTTAAAACCGTGGGTTCATCACACTTTTCTGATAACCCTGCTATATTTGGCATGCATCAACATGAATAGGTCACAAGATTCTTCATTCTACACAAAATGACGTGATCATCAATGTTCAAAGAAATTCCTGTAAAGAGCATCCACAATCTAAAATGGAAATATGATTTCTTAAGAACTTGAGTTTCCATCTTAAAAGTTTAACTTATTAAGTGAGATGATCTAATGCGCTATAAAATATTGGCAGTGGAGAGAGCCTAGAAATTGGGACACAAATTAAGGGATGAGCCCTTGGGAGGGTGAGCCCAGGTCCCTCTTGCATGTCAATTACAGGTCCATCTTTCCCGTCGACCTTCCACTCAAAGCACTGAATCATCGCGGCAAGGCTCGTTGTAACAAAACGCAACGCGAGGGACGCCCCGGGGCATACTCTTCGTCCGCTCCCAAACGGCAAAAGATGGAAATTCTGTCCTCTAACATCCAATTGGTTCTTTAAAGTTCCTTCTTCACTAAGAAACCTCTCTGGGTTGAACTCAAGTGGGTCTTCCCAATGCTTTGGATCCCTTCCAATGGCCCAAAGATTAACATACAGCTGGGTCTTGGCTGGAATTTCGTAGCCATTAATCGTGCATTTTTCGGATGATTCTCGAGGTAGCAACGGCGCAGCAGGGTGAAGCCTCAGTGTCTCCGTTACTATGGCTTGGATGTAAGGAAGGTTGACAATATCAGACTCTTCTACTAGTCTGGTTTTTCCAACTACAGAATCAATCTCTTCCCTTGCTTTGGCCATGATATTTGGGTGGTTCATTAGCTCTGCCAGTGCCCATTCTATGGTAATGGCAGAAGTATCTGTCCCAGCTACAAATACTTCCTGAAAACAAGAAAATATGTTTCATTAATTGAATCACCATATAAATCTCATGTATTTACACAAGTGATAACTTTATCATATGTATTTGTTAGAAAAATATGGACAATACAAAAAAGAACAACAATAATTTATGAAAAAAATAAAATAACTAAATTGTTACAAACTAATTCAACCTTTCTACTAAACTCAGAAATGAAATTGCAAGGGTGTCGACGCATGTGAATCACGCTTTCTTTAAAACAGATTCATCCCCTCCGGCGAGTGCTTGAGGCAACGTTGGACGTCCGTCTTCCAGGATACAACGACAACGACGGTAGCTCGAAGCACTATCGGAACCGTCCGACGAACTAGAACTCGGACCTTCCCTCTATCACCAAGACTGAACTACAAAAATAGATGCACAAAGAGCTCAGAAAGAGAGAGCCAAGAGAAAGGAGAAGAGATTTCGGAATGAGTGTCCTCTTCCTTCATGTGGAGACCCTTTATATAGGCTCTTGAGAAGGAGGTTTCAGAAATAAGCAATTATGGTGTTTTAAGACACATAATAATATGCATTGTAATGGAGCAAAACGTTTGATTTCCCATGATGAATATGGCCACACATTGCTTATAGGTTCGTGGAAAAACTGATGCAATAACCAGCCTTTAACTTCACATTTAAGGTCGGTATTAAGCACACCATTATGCCCCTTTTAATCACCATTATGCTCAATTTACCAGCCATCAAGCACAGCATTAAGGTTAGGGCAAAAGGCTTGAAAAGTCTTGACTGAATCAAAAATAAAAATTGCAAAAATAAGCTCGCACGGAGCAGGTTTTCCGGTCTGACATTCGTGTCCACAGGTCGCGGGCGCACACATGGCGCCCCAAACCCGTTGGGACCATGATTCGCACCCCCCCTGTGCATGAGAGAGCCTCTTTGGTATACATGCTTACCTAGGCTTCAAAGCGCAATCACTTATAAACACCACCATGGCTCCATTCCTAACCAATGTGGGATTTTTCAATTTTCCAAACCAACTTAACCATTAAAAGTTGCATTCTTAGAGCATAAATTTCTCATTCACCCGATATCCATTTTGAGCGTATGAATATCCGATCGCGATCTCCTTACGACGGAGAACGCAAATCCGTCGTGACCCATCCCAAAAACCTATTAGGTCCCATTCGAATATGGGCCTCAAAATGGCCCTTTAAAATGGCTTAACAAGCCATTTTTCCAACAATCCTCCACATGAATGAAAAATTGACTGACGATGAGAAAACACAGACTCAACACGGTGATAGAGTTCTACAGTCGACACCTGCAAAGGATAAGTAGGCGTTAACCCTTGAACCTTCCCTCGTGAGAATACATTAACGTTACTGGCTAACCAGTAGACGCGATGTCCTTGAACTGTTCTGCCTTTGTGTAAACGTTAATATACCTCACACAGACATCTTTTTGATACAGTTCTGTGCTCATGGTTATGTTCATTTTGGCCATGAACATCTACGTGGTTCTGCAAGAGTTTCTGAAGAATTGAGCCCTCACAATTCTCCTTTGAAGCGACCCCACTTCTCTCTCACATAGATGATTTCTTAATGAAGAGTAACTCGTATTACTCCGCTTGGATTCCTGACGTATCTGACGCATAAGAATCATTAAAAACTGATATTTAAGCTCTTCTCATGCGGGTTTCACTGTTATCATCATAGGAATTGGCTGGGGTTACCCCCACAGTGAACTCAGCTGGTCTAAACAATTTAGTTGTCCCATTGAACCTAGATCTTGGGATCTCCAGTCAGCTAGGTTGGGTTTCCATTGCTTCAACCTATTTATTTCATGGGCTTTAGTCCCATTCCCCTTGATGTCTTTTCAACTTGATCTCTATTCAGTCCTTTGGTCAGCGGATCCGCAATATTATCTTTCGACCTTATATACTCAATGACTATGACTCCTGTTGAGATCAGTTGTCTAATGGTATTATGTCGACGACGTATATGTCTAGACTTACCATTATACATCATATTGTGTGCCCTATCAATAGCTGATTGGCTATCACTGTGTATGTAAATTATAGGTACAGGTTTTGGCCAATCAGGAATGTCCTCTAAGAAATATCTAAGCCATTCAGCTTCTTCACCACTTTTATCCAAAGCGATGAACTCAGCTTTCATTGTGGATCTGGTTATTACCCTTTGCTTAGAGGATTTCCATGAAATAGCTGCACCACTCAAGGTGAATACATATCCACTGGTAGCCTTAGAATCCTGTGTATCGGATATCCAACTTGCATCAGAGTATCCTTCTAAAATAGTAGGTTCTCTTGTGTAATGCAGTCCATAATTATGAGTATATCTTAATTACCTCAGTACTCTCACAATTGCTTTCCAGTGGTCATCTCCTGGGTTACTCGTAAATCTGCTTAACCTACTTACAGTGAAGGCAATATGTGGTCTTGTACAGCTTATTAAGTACATCAGACTGCCTATCACTCTAGCATACTCCACCTGGGATATGCTTTCTCCTCTATTTTTGGACAGATGTTAAATAATATCAATAGGAGTTCTGGCTATACCAGAATCATTTTTATAAAACTTATCAAGTATCTTGTCCACGTAATGTAACTGAGTTAATATGAGACCATCAGTCACCCTTTTGCTTTTGATCCCCAAAATCACATCAGCTGGTCCCATATCTTTCATGTCAAACCTTGAGTTTAACATGTGTTTGGTAGATTTGACCATCCGATCACTGCTACCTACAATTATTATGTTGTCTACATACATATAAAGAATGACATAACCGTCTTCTGTATTCTTGACATAAACACATTTGTCACACTCGTTGATTTTGAATCCATTTGACATCATAACATTGTCAAATTTCTTATGCCATTATTTTGGTGCTTGTTTCAGTCCGTACAAAGAGTTCACCAATTTGCAGAATTTCTTCACTTGTCCTGGAGCTACACAACCCTCAGGTTGTTCCATGTAGATTTCTTCTTCCAGATCTCCATTTAGAAAGGCTGTCCTCACATCCATTTGATGGACTTCAAGATTTCACAATGCAAGAATCGCTAGTATCATCCTTATAGATGTTATTCTCGTCACAGGAGAATACGTGTCAAAGTAATCAATGCCTTCTCGTTGTCTATAACCTTTTATTACTAGTCTGGCCTTATACTTGTCAATTGTTCCATCTATCTTCATTTTTCGTTTAAAAATCCATTTAGAACCTAGTAGTTTATTTCCTAGCGGAAGGTCTACAAGTTCCCAAGTATGATTTTGTAGGATGGAATCTATCTCACTCTTTATGACTTCGTTCCATAGAGGACCCTCAGTTGAGCTCACAGCTTCTTTATGACCCTCAATTGAGCTCACAGCTTCTTTATACGTTTGAGGTTCAACCTCTAGCATATAGGTTAGAAAATCTGGTCCGAAAAACTTTTCTATCCTTGCCTTCTTGCTTCGTCTAGGCTCTTCCTCTGTTTCCACATTTCCATCATTTTCAGAATTTTGACTACAATCTTCTATGATTGTCTCAAAACTTCATTTTGATGAACTTGGCTTATCTTCCTTAGTCTTACATGGATATACATGCTCAAAGAATGATGCATTCCTAGAATCTATTATCGTGTTCTTGTGTATGTCAGGGTTTTTAGATTCATGCACAAGGAACTTATATGCGGTACTATTATGAGCATGCCCAATGAAGATGCAATCAACCGTTTTCGGACTTATCTTCATCTTCTTTGGTGTTGGAGCCATTACCTTGGCCAAACACCCCCACACTTTCAAGTATTTGTAGGAAGGTTTCCTTCCTTTCCACAATTCATAGGGGGTTTTATCGACTTTCTTACGCGAAACCTTATTTAAAAGGTAATTAGCTGAAAAAAGGCTTCCCCCCACATGTTCTATGGGAACCCAGAACTTATTAACATTGTATTCATCATATCTTTTAAGGTACAATTTTTTCGTTTAGCAATGCCATTTGATTGGGGAGAATACGGAGGTGTGACTTCATAAATAATTCCATGTTGTGCACAAAGCGCACTAAATGGTTCGACATATTCACCACCTCGGTCACTTCTTACCATCTTAATCTTTTTATTAAGTTGGTTTTCAACTTCTCGCTTGTAGAGAGTAAATTTCTCTACAGTTTCATCTTTGCTTTTTAGCAAATATACATAGCAATACTTTGTGCTATCATCAATGAAAGTGATAAAATACTTATTACCACCTCTAGTTTGAACAAACTTTAAGTCACAAACATCACTATGTATTAGATCAAGTGGCTCAGTATTCCTTTCTATCATTTGGAATGATGACCTTGTTAGTTCTGCCTCTACACAAGTTTCACATTTACGTTTTGAATCAATATGAAATGCGGGAATGTGATCTAAGTTAATTAATCTATGCAAGGTATCATAATTAGCATGTCCTAATCTGCCATGCCATAAGTTAGAAGAAACTCAAGCATATAAACGGAAGATTCTTTCTTCTTTTTCATTTTCTTGGGTTTTACAACTATGGCATTCATTTTCCACATGCCATTCTTTACATAACCCTTCCCTACATACATTCCCATTTTAGACAAAACTATCTTATCGACTTCAAATACCATCTTGAAGCCGTGCATGCTCAGCATTGTCCTGGATATGAGATTCTTCCGGATGTCGAGCACATAAAGTACATTGTGGAGCTTCACTTCCTTGCCCGAGGTCATCTTCAAGAACACTGTTCCTTGGCCCTTGATCACAGAAGTTGCAGAATTGCCCATGAAAAGCTTCTCTCCAGTTTCCAACGGAACTAGATCAGTAAACTCAGCCCGGTCACATCAAATGTGTCCTGTAGCCCCAGTATCGAGCCACCACTCATTTGGATTGGAGTCGACCAAGTTACTTCAAAGACCACAGCAGAAAAACTGATGTCAAACACTTCTTTGGAAATAGTGTCCACAACATTGGCCTCCTTATCCTTGTTTCATTTTGGCAGCCTGCAGTCCGCCGATTTGTGCCCAACCTTATTGCAATTGAAGCACTTCCCTTGGAATTTCTTCTTGACAATTCCTCCCTTTGGTCCCAACTTGGATCCAGGCTTTCCTTTCTTTTCGGAGCTATCATGCTCCACGACATTAGCCTTAGCAGAGTTTATGGTTACATTAGAGAATTTCTTCTCAGTCCGCCTATTGTCTTCTTCAACGTGAAGCCTGACAACTAATTGCTCAACGGTCATCTCTTTCCTCTTGTGCATCAGATAGCTCTTGAACTCCTTCCAGGAGGGGGGTAGCTTATCAACTAGCGCAGCTACCTAGAAGGATTCACTAATAGCCATTCCCTCAACATGTATCTCGTGAATTATCAATTGGCGCTCTTGAACTTGACTAATGACAGTCTTCGAGTCCACCCTATTGTAATTCAGGAATTGGCCTACTAAGAACTTCTTAGCACCTGCGTCCTCGGACTTGTATTTCTGGTCCAAATATTCCTATAAATCCTGAGCTGTTTTCTTTGAGCTATAGTTCCGACACAGAAAATCAGAATGGTTCCATGCATCAACCGCGTAGAATGCTTAAGCATCTACTTCATCCTCTCTAACAGTAGGAAGATCCTCTTTTAAGAATCTCACAAGATTCAATGTTGTCAGATGAAACAACATTTTTTGTTGCCAAGTCTTAAAATTCAGCCCACTGAATTTATCAGGCTTTTCATTGTGGTTCACAGGAACCGAGACTAGCGAAGGACGCGTCGAGGTCAAAGCGGGGGTTGGGACTGAGACAAACGTTTATCCTATAGGTGACGGCTCAGGCGTCATAGTGTTGCTTCCAGTAGGAATAACCATGTTCATGTTATCAGCCATTTCTTCAAAACAAAATTTCCAAGTTAGTAAGGAAATTGACAAAAAATTTCCAACAACAAAAAACGTTTTTTTTTTCCTTTTCCTCCTGCAAAGTCCGCCTTTGTATAAATCCAACTCTGTTTTAAGATTGTTAGAAAAATATGGACAATACAAAGAAGAACAACAATAATTTATGGAAAAAACAAAATAACGAAATCGTTACAAACTAATTCAACCTTTCTACCAAACTCGGAAATGGAATTGCAAGGGTGTCGAGACACATGAATCACGCTTTCGTTAAAACAGATTCGTCCCCTCCGGTGAGTGCTTGCAACGTTGGACGTCCGTCTCCCAGGATACAACGACAACGACGGTAGCTTAAAGCACTATCGGAACCATCTGGCGAACTAGAACTTGGACCTTCCCTCTATCACCAAGACTGAACTACAAAAATAGATGCACAAAGAGCTCGAAAAGAGAGAGCCAAGAGAAAGGAGAAGAGATTTCGGAATGAGTGTCCTCTTCCTTCATGTGGAGACCCTTTATATATGCTATTGAGAAAGAGGTTTCATAAACAAGCAATTATGGTGTTTTAAGACACACAATAATCTGCATTGTAATGGAGCAAAACATTTGATTTCCCATGATGAATCTGGCCACACTTTGCTTATAGGTTTGTGGAAAAACTGATGCAATAACCAGTCTTTAACTTCACATTTAAGGTCGGTATTAAGTACACCATTGTGCCCCTTTTAATCACCATTATGCTCAATTTACCAGCCATTAAGCACAACATTAAGGTTAGGGCAAACGGCTGGAAAAGTCTTGACTGAATCAAAAATAAAAATTACAAAAATAAGCTCGCACGGAGCGGGTTTTCCAGTCCGGCATTCGTATCCGCAGGTCGCGGGCGCACACATTGGGTCCCAAACCCGCTGGGACCGTGATTCGTACCCCCCCTGCGCGTGAGAGAGTCTCTTTGGTAAACACCACCATGGCTCCATTCCTAGCCAATGTGGGATTTTGCAATTTTCCAAACCAACTTAACCATTACAAGTTGCATTCTTAGAGCATAAATTTCTCATTCACCTGATATCCATTTTGAGAATATCCGAATTCGATCTCCTTGCGACGGAGAACACAAAGCCATCCTGATCCGTCCCAAAAACCTATTAGACCCCATTCAAATATGGACCTTAAAATGGGCCTTTAAAATAGTTTAACAAGCCATTTTTCCAACAGTATTAATGTCTAGATTTATACAATCATTATGAAAAAGTAAGAGGCCTGTAGACATTGAACTAGCAAATCTTGTATCCCAAGCAATAAAGAAGTCAATGATATATAGAAACAGAATGCAAATATGGTGCAGATTATTTGCAATAGCCCAAGATCAATAATTGACTAAGTGAAAAAAAAAAAAATATTCTTCAAAGAGATTGAGTTAATTACATGTGCCTTTAATCAAATCAGGAGATACTCAAACCGTGATACATACATCAAAATGAACCAGATAACAAATTACTATCTAATTAGAAGTAATTAAATTAATGCACCAATTATGACATCCACGATACAACAATTAATCTCAATAAATGAAATTACTAAGAGCCATATAAAACATTATTCATAAATAAATAGTCTTGTCTCCTAAGCTAAGAAAATTATGATCACAAATGTTGTAATTTACTCTTGAACTTTCCTATCAGAAAATTAAATTCCATTCATATAACTAGTAATATATATATATAGATATATAAATGCTGTGTCTGAATTTCATACCAGGACAAATGCCTTTATGTTCTCTCTTGTCAATCTGACCTCTGAGCTCTCATCTTCCAATATTTCAAGCAAAATACCAAGTACATCCTTATACTTTCCCTTCTCCTCCACCTTCGTAATTGCCTCTTGATGCTCTTCTATAATCTTCTCCATCATTTTATCAAACTTCTCATGAATTTCCTTACTCTTCTTCCAATACCCTTGCAAATCTAGCTTCCTACACAACCAAATGTAATCCGAAAAATTGAACTTGCCAAGGAGCTCCGCCGTCTCGTTCACCGCCTTCCTGATCTCGTCGCCCTCCTCATCGTTCTCTGCGCACCTCTTGCTCATGATCATCCGCGAAAAGACATTGTTAGTCAGCTTTGTAAGTTCTCCACCAACCTCAACTGCCTCTTTCTCATTAGCCCTTTCGAGAATCAGCTTCAGAAGCCGCCTTAGCTCGTCGCTCCTTATCGGAAGGAGTTGGTCGAGTGTTTGTCCGCCGAGAAGCCTGGACATGGAAAGCTTCTTCATGAACTTCCAGTAAGGTCCAAACTCAGCAAAGACGAAATCAGACCAGGGGTAAGAAAGGTAATTCAGAACACTCCGATTAGGCCGGTTCAAGAACGAGGTTTCTTGAGTCTTAAGGAACTCTTTCGCCATTTCGGGTGAGGAAACAACCACGCAAGGGACAGAGCCAAGGAAGAGATGAATTAAGGGTCCGTAGCGGTTGGAGATTTTGTGGAAAGCTTGGTGGGGTAATCGATCGACGAGGTGAAGGTGTCCGATGATCGGAAGGGCTGGCGGGCTCGGCGGAAGGCGAGCTGTGGTCCGAGTTTTGGTGAGTATGGCTCGGACCAGGATGGTTGATACTAGACATGACAGGCAAACTATGAGGAAGCTTTGGAGATCTTCCATTGTTGAATCTATATGTTTCTTTCTTTTCCTTTTTCAAAGTTTTTCATATACTTCTATGGGGAATAATAATCTGAACACGTGTGATTACAAACAAAAAAATAAAAGAAAGAAAAAAATGTATTGTCCCAGTCCTTTGTCAAAAGTACGGCTTAGCTCTAAATAGATAAGGAAAGAGTGGCCTTTGTTGTCGGCACAACACTATATATAGCACTTCTTATTTAGCAATATAAAGAAAACTATTGTAATGTATTTGGAAAGAATATTGTATATTGAATGAATTATCTGAATCATTAAATCAACAAGTAACTATCTATTTATACATAAGTTACATAAAGCTACTGAAAACTTGTAGAGTACGTTTTTACTACAGAAGCTTATACTAGAAGCTTTGCAAAGCTTGCTTAGTAAGCTAAGGTTTTTTAACAGCTCCCCTCAAACTTAAAGTAGTTAGATCTTCTACTTTAAGTTTGTTTCGTATAAGACCAAACACTGAGCTTGAAATGGCTTTAGTGAAGACATCTATCAGTTGATCAATGGCTGGTACATGTCTGACTTCTATTTGCTTCCTCATGACCTTCTCTCGAACAAAGTATAGATCCAACTCTATATGCTTTGTTCTAGCATGTAGAACCGGGTTGGCTGCTAGGTGAACTGTGCTCAGATTGTCACACCAGATTACTGGTGTTTTATGTGACTGAAAATTTAGTTCACTTAGAAGAGATTGCAGCCAAGATATCTCTGCCACCACACTAGCTAAACTCCGATATTCAGCCTCTGTAGATGATCTAGACACTGTGTGTTGCTTCTTTGACTGCCAGGAAACCAAGTTAGAGCCAAGAAATACACAAAACCTTGAGGTGGACCTTCTGTCATCAGCATTTGAAGCCCAATCTGCATCACAAAATGCAACTAGATCTAGGTTATCCGTAGAGCACTGTCTCAAGTGTAGACCATAGTCAAGTGTGCCAGCTAGACACCTGAGAATTCTCTTCACTGTTTTCCAATGAGCCTCTAATGGTGTTTGCATAAATTGACACACTTTGTTCACACTGTAGGAGATCTCTGGCCTTGTGATTGTCACATATTGTAAAGCTCCTACTACACTCCTATATAGCTGAACATTGCTCACATGATCGCTTCCAAAAGAAGACAGTTTCCGCCCTGTGGTCATGGGAGCTGAAGCACTCTTGGCATATTGAATCTTGGTTCTACACAGCAAATCTGTGATGTATTTTTTCAGAGATAGATGAAGTCCTCCAGAGGTTCTTGTTACCTGTATCCCAAGATAATAGTTAATCTCTCCAAGGTCTTTGAGTGCAAATTCAACATTAAGCTTGTTGGTTAACCCTTGGATAGCTGATTCATCACTCCCGGTCACTAAAATGTCATCCAAATAGACTAGAATGTAAAGAGTCCATTGTGATGTAATTTGAATGAAAAGTGATTGATCTGACCTTGCTGACCGAAAGCCAAGTTTTAGTAATGCCTGGTGAAGTTTGTCAAACCATGCCCTTGGAGCTTGCTTCAAGCCATAAAGAGACTTGTGTAGCCTACACACTAGACTTAGATGATGTTGATCGACAAAGCCAGCAGGTTAATCCATGTACACTTCCTCCTGTAAATCCCTATTTAAGAAGGCATTGTTCACATCAAGTTGCCTCACATACCACTGCCTACTTAATGCTAGAGTGAGTATTACACGAACAGTAGTAGGTTTAACTACTAGGCTGAAAGTTTCTGTGAAATCAAAACCTGCCACTTGATGAAAACCTTTAGCAACAAGTCGTGCTTTGTATTTGTTTATGCTGCCATCAGAATTTTCCTTGACTCTAAAAACCCACTTGCAACCAATTGCTTTTCTCCCAGAAGGTAAAGGAACAAGGCTCCACGTGTGGTTCCTCTGAAGAGCAAGGAACTCATCAGTCATAGCCTGTTTCCAGTGTACAGCAGCAAGAGCCTCTTCAACAGTGTTAGGCTCCTTTGTTGCCATGTATACTTTAGGTTTAAAAATGGCTTTCTTGGAGCGTGTGACCATGGAGTGTGAAAGTGGCAGCTTGGACTGTTTTGAGGATTCTAAACACTCCTGACCTGGTACACATGAGTCTTGATTTGAGGTTGAAACAGTAGACATATGTTCTGGCACAGTGGAAGTATTTTCTGGTGCAATGGGAGAAGTTTGATTATGTGGTAGTATGAAGGGTGAAAGAGAAAATTCAGTTAAAGAGGATGATGAAGGCGTTGGAAGAAGAAGCTGAGACGATGGAAAAGAAGAGGGAAGAACACCAAGTGGTGTGGATGAGAGAGGATTATTCGGCTTAACACAAGTGGATGGTATGACTGGATTAGTTTTGGCAAATGGGAATGAGAGTTCATAAAATATAATATCCCAAGAGACATAGATTCTACCAGATGGATCAAGACATTTATAACCCTTATGCTTGATGCTATAACCAAGAAAGGTACAAGGTGTGGACCTAAACTGCAACTTGTGCCTGTTATAAGGTCGAGTATTTGGATAACAAGTGCACCCAAAAACTTTAAGTTGAGAATAGACTGGTTTTGTGTGAAATAAAACTTCCAGAGGAGTTCTATTTTGAAGTAAAGGTATTGGCAGCCTGTTTATAAGAAAAACTAAGGTACGAAACGCCTCATCCCAGTATTTAAACGGCATAGAGGCTTGAGCAAGGAGTGTTAGACCTGTTTCAACAATGTGTCTATGCTTACGCTCAGCAACTCCATTTTGCTCATGAGTATGTGGACAAGGATGCCTATGTTCTATTCCTTGTTAAATAAGAAGGTCTATAAAGGCTCTAAACTCCCCTCCCCAGTTAGTTTGTAGACACTTAATAGGTAAATCAAGTTGTTTCTCCACTAAAGTTTTGAAATTGATAAAGGCTTGTAAAGCTTCTGACCTTGCTCTTAAAAGATACATCCAGGTGAAACAAGAATAAGTATCAATAAAATGAATGTAATATCTATATCCACTAGAAGAATTAGTGGGTGAGGGACCCCATAAATCCGAATGAACCAACTGTAAAGGTTTGTGGTAAGTAGTCTAAGATAGAGAGAAAGGTAGTTTATGAATTTTACCCAAACAACAAGACTTGCAAGTAGAGAGTGAAGTTTTATTGATGTTGGAGAGATTACAATTATTTAGAACAAGCTGTACAACTTTGTCAGCTGGATGTCCTAATCTACTATGCCATAGTTCAAAATGAGAAGAATTGATAGTGCTAGTATAAGCTCGAATAACAGGAATTACAGGATTAGAAAAAGAAGAGGATGGCTGAACAGATGGCTGAACAGTTTGTGAAGAACAAACCGGAGGAGATGGCTGGAGATGGAGACGGATCTGTGAGTTGTCAAATGCATAGAAGCCATCCTTAAGACGACCCTCCAGCAGCACCATCTTGGAAGTAAGGTCCTTGACATAACAAGTAGTGGGGCGAAACTCAAAGAAAACATGATTATCAGTGGCAAACTTGGAGACACTCAACAAATTTTTATGAATTTTAGGGACATGTAATAAGTGTTTAAGAGTAAGAGTTTTGAAAATGATAAACAGACTAGAGAAACTAGAAGAACCAATGTGTTTAATAGGTAACCCCTTACCATTTCCCATGTGCACCTGATCAACGCCTGAGAATTCTGAACTGGTCATGAGGTTTGAATGATCAGCAGTCAAGTGGTTAGTAGCACTCGAGTCAGGATACCAGTCCATGTCAGAAGAATCAGCTGGATACCAGGCTGGATTCTGCACTGCCTCTGGAGTAGCAAGCATAGCACCCATCTGAAAAGCTTCAGACTCTAGGTTTGAACTCTGGCAGTGAGCTAGGTTGCCTTGAACCTGATGAGAAAATTGAGAAGGACCAGCAAAAGACTTGTCAAAGCGGTAATAACACTGCATAACAACATGACCTTGCTTTCCACAGAGTTGACACTGCACTTTGTTGTTGTTCCAAGGCCCTCTGTTAAATCCTCCAAAACGTCCTCTGCCCCTGCTATTTGTATTACGAGAAAAATGACCCTGTCTAGGATTACCTGAGAAATACATAGGAGATGCTGGAAAGAAACCAGCAGTTCCAGAAGAAGGATGTCCGAAACCAGGACCACTAAATTTTGGAGCAGAATTTGACTGAGTCCTAGCCATAGCAAGATTAACAGATGTAGGACCAGCAGAAGAAAAACCAAAACCATCACTAGACTTTAAGGCTTTCTCAATACGAACTTCTTGAGCAAGAACTAGATATTCAACTTCTTCAACAGTGTATTCATTGAAACTAGAATTCACACTGATCTCCAAAATATCATATTCAAGAGGTAAACCATTGAATATTGCATCTACATGATCCTTAGTTGAAATTTCATGACCTACTAGAGCAAGCATATCAACAAAATGTCTTATTCGAAGCAGCTTTTAATTAATAGTCAAAGAGTCTTTACGTGTATTCTGTAATTGAGTCTTAAACTGAGACTTTTTGGCTCTAATTTGTGAGGCAAAGTATACCTCAACCATTTGCCAAACTTGAGCTGCAATTTCACAGTTGACCAATCGAGTAAGAACAGAATCAGACATGGAGGCTAGCATCCACAACACGATTAGTTGATCTTGCTGTTCCCACTCTAGATACACCGTATTGATCACACGAAGAAGTTCATCTTCTGGAGAAAGAAACTTTGGAGGCAATCTTATTGAGTTAAAAAGAAAGTCTTGAAGGTGATAACCGCGGGCAGTGGCAAGAACTTGTCGGCGCCAGACCAAAAAATTATTGTTGTCTAACTTCGAAGAAATTGAGTGTGAGAAGGTTACCGGATTAAATCGTAAGGAAGAAAGATTCTTTTGTACGGTTGTGGAGGTTTCTTCCATGGCGATTGCTGAAAAGAACACCTTTACTCGGTTAATCGATGAAAAGAAACACTCAATCTGACAGAAGACCTCTGGATCTAACACAAGAAAGCCGAATCTGACAAAAGAACGCTAGATCTGACAACGGAATACCGGATATGACCAAAAGAACGCTTGAGGAATGAGCACCTTTACTCGGTTAATTAACAAAGAAAGAAACGCCGGATCTGACAAAGGAACACCGGATCTGACAAAAGAACGCCTGAGAAACGGATTCCGTCACCAGAGAGAGAGATTCGCTGGAGAGGATTCCATCACCGACAAAGTGGCTTTGATACCATATAAAAAAAAACTATCGTAATGTATTTGGAAAGAATATTGTATATTGAATGAATTATCTGAATCATTAAATCAACAAGCTACATTAACTACCTATTTATACATAAGTTACATAAAGTTACTAAAAACTTGTAGAGTACGTTTTTACTACAGAAGCTTATACTAGAAGCTTTGCAAAGCTTGCTTAGTAAGCTAAGGTTTCGTAACAAGCAACATTAATTAACAAAAAAAAAAAAAAATTACATTAACTTTGATTCTTTTTTCCACCGTCAAGCTAATAATTACTGTGAATAATACTTATAATTAGAGTTATTATAAAATATATTTGTATTACGATGTTATTAATAGAAAGATCTATTATGATAATAACATAAAAATAAAATAATCAAAACTAAAGATATATTTGAAATTCGTTCTTTTTAGTATTATGAATAAATAAGACCTTACAAAAGTACTAAAAGTTCAATTAGGCTTATGAATAAGTAAGACCTTACAAAAGCACTAAAAGTTCAATTAGGCTAAACACTCTATTAATGGTCTTCTGTTTCATCGTCCATGTTCAAAGAGTAAAATGGTTTTTTCTTTTTTTGGTGAAATATTCTTATTATCACCAATTAGAAATAAAATAAAAAGATATGTGGCTGTTTATTTATTTATTTTTTGGGTAAATGATCGATACATATTTTGTTAAATTGAAAAAAATGATCATTTTGTAAAAATGATTAGTCAGTGATGTGATGTGATTTGTGGTTTACTATTAATTAACTTCGTAGTTTTACATAGATTAATTTAATTATTCCTTGTCAATATTACTTGATGAATATCCAAATTATACAAATAATTTACCGACTTATCTCTGATACCATTAGTTATTTAATGATAAATCATTAGTTAACCACTATTAAAAAAACGATCATTTATAACCTTTTGGTTGTTAGTTAAAAGGTGTGGGTAAAACCGTCCGTCGACCTAATTAATTAACGTTTCCTATAAAATATACAATACATTAGTGTGTTTAATCCAATAGCGCTACATAACCGTGTTAAGTCTCTTTTATGTTTTTCCAAAAAAAAAAAAAATTCTCTTTTCTGTTTGATTTTTTAGCAAGTCAGGTAAAATTTCCAAAAAAAACTTTGTTGGGTGGCTGAAATTGAGAATAAATTTCCATTAAAAAAATTGATAGTAAATTAGTGATCTATATATTCTAAGAGTCTAAGGAAAGAAAGTAATATTAAGGGTTTGTTTATTTACACCAATATTAAAAAAAATTTAAACTCAAGTTACAACTTTATTTAAATTCATGTTTTTTTTTTTTTTTTTTTTTTTTTAAAATTTGAGTTTGAACTTGAATTTGGGGTTAAAATCTGAGTTCAAATTCCCTCTTCAACTCAAGTTCCTAAACTCAAACTCAAGTTAATGAACAATATTTTTTCTATTCTTAAAACGCCGTAACTTTTTCGTTTTAATTCCGATTGAGATGATTGTTTTTTATTCATTCACAATGAAGAGAAGAATAAAACATCACCCATATATCCTATTAAAATTTTTCATGACCATTGATTTTTTATTAAAATACTATATAAATATAAATTTAAGTTTTGACCCACTTAAACACAAACTCAAATAGATTCTCAATTTAAACAATAACTCAAAATGTACATATCCAAACACAAACTCAAATTAGAGTCTCAACTCAAACTATATTTAAATACACTTTAACTCAAATTAAGATATGAACTCAAGCCACTCTAACTTAAAAAATATAAATGAATAAGTCCTAAATATTCTGATCTTTCTCGAGTAGTAAGGCTGGCAAGTTCATAGCAATAATATCATAGAGAGAAGGACAACCATGCAGTAATCGGCAATAGTTGCCAAATATATCACGTCACATTTGAATATCTTATCAGATTGGATTACATGAAAAAATATCATTGTTACGTGGTTCAACAATTTATCTCGTGTAGCAATATCAGATACACCCATATCTTGCAATAAATTCTAATTGGTGTGAGCCGATTATAAGCCCTGGTGTTCACACAGACCAGGACCGGCTTAAGACCATAAGAGCCTTGGGCGAAAATTTTAATAGGGAGATTGAGGGAGATGTACCTGATTAAAAGGACACTAAAAAAAGACAGGCTAAGATTTATAATTAGTTAGTAGATAGGTGTAAATCTGGATTTACACTAAATAACATTTAAAACATTCTAATAGGCCTGACTCTATCTCCACGCTTTCTCTATCTCCTCGTTCTCTACATTATAAATACATAATGTATGAATAAACATAATATGTGTTCTAATGGTAAATCTATATTTACACAAAAGAATAAAAAATGTGTTTGATGGTAAATCCTAGATTTATACTGTTGGTAATTACAATTTTCAAAGCTTAACGAATAGAGAAAAAGTAGATTTATCTAATGATATGCAATAATTGAGATTTGGGTTGGTATTCATGGCATTATTCTATATATAGTATAACTTAGTGAAAGGTACATGGTTTGCTATAGCTTTGTGAAGGCTATTATTTATGTCATTCTAAATAATTAAGTCTCATTGTGGCCTTTTGTCTTTTTTTATTAATTAAAGGATAATTGTTTATTTGTGAGTGAAGTGACATAACTTATATTTTTTTAACATCTTAATTGGTATTTCTTAGTGGTGGCACTTCGTGTTAATAGGTCGTGTTCATGTCCAACTTATTTATTGATCGTGGCAGAGAACATCGACCCAAACACGACCCATTTATTAAACGTGTCAAAAATGTCAACCCAATCACAACCAGTTTCTTAATCGTGTTAATCGTAACAATCCACGTTACCCATTTAAACTTATATATTGAATAAATAATTGATACAATTAGAACTTATTTAACACGATTATTACACATTTAATAATTTTATTGGTCTATTTATCTTTATTTTTTTAAAAAATAAGTAAAATTTATCTAAAAATTTTAAAATTCATGTTATTTGTATTAAATACATAATATAAACTTTTATATTATATCATGTATAATTAATTTAAAAATACCACATATAGTTAATCGTGTCACTTCGGATCAATTTGCGTTAGAAGGTCAACCCTAACCAAACCCGTTTATTAATCGTGTTAATCGTGTCAACCCGATTATGATCTAAACCCGCTAATTCTGTGTGGGTTTCTAGTCTTGTTATTGTATCCTGGCCTAAATTACCAGTCCTAGTATTTCTGATTTTTTTTTCCTGTAACTTAACAAAAATGGAGCTTTCACCACTCAGTGGCCTTTGGCGAGCGCCTAACTCACCTAGCCCTTGAGCCGACAATGACACAAACTGCAAAACCAAGCTAAAGAAGACTGTTTGTCCATACCAAAATTTGTTAAACTCGAGGGAAATTAATTTTCTAAACATAAATTTGATTAAAAAATAAAACAATCACAAACACGTAAAATTCACATAAAAAAAGGGAAAAATGTAAATATTTAATATAGTTCGGGTCAATGCGGTCCACGCCAGCTATGGTTGCTGAATTTTTTTATTAAATTTTTAGAATTACACACGCATAATATCTCTTACAAGTTCTCTCAAAATATTATGTAAACAAAAAGGATATAAAATATAGTATACGAATGAGGGTACGATTCCTAGCTCACTCTCATGTGACACTGATGACGACGTATCTTTAAAAAAAAAAAAAAAAAAAAAAAAAAAAAAAAAAAAAAAAAAAGTCAATAGTGTTTACAAGTGTGTGGTGGTTACGTACGATTGAGTGCACCACTTGCTTCAGTGTTCCAAAGAAGCTCATTAATATTCTCTTCTAAGTTCATATCTAACTTTCGTCCTTAGCCACTATCACTATTGTCATCACCCCCATTGCAGTATTCAACTTAAACTGTTCCTAAATGAAAGTGTTCATTAAAGTATTCCGAGACCATTTCTTAAAACAATATGAAATAAGTGGCGGAGAGATATTCTCACTCAAACTTTGAATTGATGTAAAATAGAAATTTTGAATTCAAGAAAGTGTGAAGGTAATACCACCACTAATGGAGCTTTATATTGAGTAAGTGGGGCTTAAAGTTTAGTTACTTTTTAACATGGGACTTCTAAAAGTTTGTCGTTCTATAGTACTTTTAACAAAATTAAAATCATAATAAATATTGGGAGAATGAGAGAAATAAGCCTAAGAGGAGAATAAAAATTTATAGCCCTAAGTTCAAAAAAAGTTAGTAAATAGGTTATTTTAATGTAAATCTGAATTTACACTAAACTAAAAATTCAAAAATGCCCTCACATTCTACATATTCTAAAGGAGAGCTGAAGGGTTACTGTTCACTGTACAGTGTTATGAACAGTAAAATTCTGTTTTTAACCTCTTAAATGTATATTTACAATTTTGCCCTTTAATGTTTGTTTACCACAGCTGCTTCCTTCCCAGTATTTATGTCTTTGTAGCGGAATTTTTTTTTCTAAGAAATTATTTCCCTTTACAGATAGGGTTAATGCTTTTGGTTTTCTCATTCTTTTCCACTGCCGAGTTTTCTCCTCTGGCCTCTGAAATATTTTTCTCTCTTGCTGCAGAGTTTTCTGCTATATCTTCTTGGCACATATATGGATTTCTTTTAAATTTTTTCTTAAGAAATTTTTTTCTTCTTTTGTTGGCTCTTAGGCGAATATTTATTTCGACTCTATTTGTTTTTTTACTAAGTCTTCTTTTTGTTTCCCTTTTTCTTATGTTTGTTTCGATGCTTCAGTTTTGCTCTCTGAATTTTCCATGTATGTTTACCATGCATGTTGTTCAATAGTATTTATGTTTATTTGTAGCGGAAAATCTTCGTTTTAAGAAAAAATTATTCGTTTACAGGTCGGGTTAGATCCATAGCTTAAAGTTTTTTTTCCTCTTCCATTCTTTACCGATTTGGTCTCTTATGTGATTATATTGTTTTTTTCTTACATATTTCTCATAATATTTGAGTTTTTTCCTTTTTGACTTCGTTTTTTCAAAAATAATGTGGTTTGTTTCCGTTTTCAAAAACGTTTTTAACGTTTTTCGAGGACCAAAAAATGAAAATGGATTGAGAACGTGTTTGGCGCATCATCCTATAAAAACTAAAAATGAAAACGTTTTCTAACCCTTTCCCAAAAATGCAGAAATTATGAAAACAATTAAGATTCGTTTTCATTTCCTTCGGATTAAGATTCATTTTCATTTTCTTCGGTGTCAATCTCTTCTTCCTCGGTTAGTTTTCTCATTTTCATTTTAACTTTCTTTCCTCTACTCCCCCCGGTCTCCCTCATCTTCGGTCTCCATCGGGTGGTGGAGCTGTTGATGAGGACGGATGTGGTGGAGAGGAAGGATGGGTCGTCGGCAGTAGCGGCGGAGGAGCGGAGGAACGGAGGAGGGAGAGGGCGAAATGGGTGAGGAAGAGGTCTCCATCGGGCAGTGGGTAAGGATCAGAGCGACGACCAGGTTTCTTCCATGAAGGAGGCCTTCATGCGCTTTGACACCGACGGCGACGGTCGGATCGCACCATCGGAGCTCGGGATCCTTATGAGATCCCTCGGCAGGAACCCTACCCAGGCGCAGCTCAAATCCATCATCGCCGAGGAGAATCTCTCGGCGCCGTTTGATTTCCCGCGGTTCTTGGACCTGATGGCCAAGCACATGAAGCCTGAGTCATTCGATCGCCAGCTCCGCGACGCCTTCAAGGTCCTCGACAAGGACGCAACGGGATTCGTCTCCGTCGCCGAACTCCGCCATGGGATTCGTCTCCGTCGCCGAACTCCGCCACATCCTCACCAGTATCAGCGAGAAGCTCGAGCCGGCCGAGTTCGACGAATGGATCCGCGAGGTTGACGTCGGCTCCGACGGAAAGATCCGCTACGAGGATTTCATCGCCAGAATGGTCGCCAAGTGAGGAACCAAAAATTGATGGTAGATTCGGTGAAAAATTGTGTCGTATATATTATATTAATTATTAATGTATTAATTGAGATGTTTATTAATTATTTAATACATTATTTTAAATATTATTATATATTTTTAAAAATATAAAACTAAACGCATTTTTAGTTTTTTCTTATACTGAAAATAATTTCTGCCAAACACATTTTCAGAAATGATTTCTATCTAAAAATGAAAATGTTTTCATTTTCATTTTCATACAGAAAACTGAATCATTTTGGAACGGATTCCAAACGCACCCAATACGTTTTTAAAATTTCTTAAAACTTCTTTTAATGTTTTTTAAGAATATTTGTTTTTGCATTTCTTAAAATTTGTTTCTATGATGTTGGTTTTTTTTTTCTCTGGAGTATTTTATTTTAAGAGGTTTTTTAGGGTATTTTTTTAAATCTATTTTTTTAAAATTTTTGTTCATATATTTTTTGGTTTTCTTTTTATGGAATTTTTTTAAGAGGCTTTCTTTTCTTTGGGGTTTTGTTTTAATCTTTTTTTAAGAATTTTTGACCCTAATTTTTTTTTCTTTTTTACTTTCTGTAAAATTTTTCCCTCATTATTTTTTTTAGATTTATAACTTTTTTTGTTGAATATGTTATTTTGAATTTTCTTATCTATTAATAGCCCTGATTTATACTGCTTTAGTATCTGTATTAGGCTTATAAATTTACAGGTATATTTCATTTCCTCCCTTTTTGTATAATAGATATCAATTAGCTTATATTCGGTAGTTTATTGGTTTTGTTTTGCGGTGAGATTTATGCTTTATGACATCTGTCGTAATATATTCATTATTTTAATTGATTTTGTTTTGCAGCGATTTGTATTGGAGATTGAACAAAATTTGTTAGTATTATATTTTCACGTGTATATATCATTATTTTTAGTTCTGTTTAATTCAAATCTTTTTTTTTTACTGTTCGTTCTTTATTGGTTCTATTATGCGGTGCACTCTATGCTTCATGACACATGGCATGCTATAATCATCACCTTCGTTGATATTTATTTGACGGTTTTACGGCGGTTTTCTATTAAGATTTTAGTCACTTTGTCGATATATATTAGTCTTTATTTTATAATCGTTCTTCATATATTACTTTCTATCATTCTTACCGTTATATGTTTTTTTACAGTTTCAAAAAGTTAGTAGTGTTAGAGTTTTCTTACTATTTCTAATGCATTTTGGATATTCTGTTACTATCTTTTCCTTCCTGAGTTTTTAATGTTAGGTTGTTTTGTCTACCTTTCTTTCATCTGTAATACTTGGTCTTCTATTTCATCTGTTCTATTCAGTATCCTTCTTACACAAAGGTAATATATTTGTACTATTTATGTGTGTTTCTTAGATGTTTTAAATAAGTGCTTTATAATGTTATAGTCATTTATTACGTGATTTTATTTACTTCTTTGTTTATATACTTATGTTTAAATTTTTTTTATGCTTTGTCGATTAACAGTCACACAATATATATCAAGTACGTTGCTAGGCCCTATTTTTATTACATTTGATATATATAGGTAAGATTATGAGATAAATACCTGAACCAACTAAATAATGAATATTTACTTCCATTGTTTATGTTCTGTTGACACTAAAATTGATAGTTGAGTCGTATTTTTGTTATATATATGTGAGTATAAATAGATTAGCATTTATTAACCTAAGTATATTATAAAGACTATTTGGATTTTCTTTTTTTTATAGCATATTTATCTTCATAAATATTTATTATATTATAATGTCCCCTGTTCTAATTTACTTATTTGAGGCACATTGGGTGCTAGACATTCAAAATCATATTACACAAATTCTAAAAAAGAGTCTGAAGTGTTATTGTTCACTGTACAGTGTTATATATGTATGTATATGTATAGTTTTTCACTTCTTAAATGCATAGCTTTTTTAAACCTTTTACTTTTTCTTAGTGATGATGATGTATTTTTCTTCTACTGTAAGCATATATCATGTAATTGTTAATAGAGGCTTGGCTGGTCTTGATGTTCCCCAGGTTATTTTGGTTCTATGTCTTTATCTACTACTTTTTTTATCAGTTAGCTATTACTGTTTTTTTGTAATCATTTTGTAACTTCTTCGCTTTCAGGTCAATGTTTTTTTAACATTTTTCACACATTTTCAGACATTATTTTCTATCATTTGCTATGTTTTTTATATTTAATGACTTTCATCCTTTAGTAATTCAGATTCATGTTTCTGTCCTTACATTTTAACTTACTTATTTGTTCTTATATGTCACTAATTTGTACTCTTTCTCTAGGACAAGATTTTAAATGATAATCGCTTTTGTTGATGTTCGGTATAAAGCCTGTAATTACTTAGATGGCAGCCAAGTACATTGGTAGGTCCTATTTTTAGTATATATCATATATACAACTAAGATTAAGAGATAAATACCTGAACCAATTATTTAATTTATAATCTTTTCTTCCTTTATCTTTTGTTGACAAAAAAACTCAATGTTCAATCATATATTTGTTATATTTGTGTTAGTTTAACTATATTTGTTTTCATAGCTTACCGAATTGAAGGAAATGAGAGCATCATTTCTTTTATAGATTGATGAAAAGTGTGTATGTGATTCGTTTATTTACCTAAGTGTACTATAATGACTATTTAAACTTCCTGTCTTTTGTAAAACGTAATTATCATAATAAATATTTATTACATTATAATGTTTTCTGTTGTATTTTGCTTATTTTAAGCAGATTAGGTGTTAGACATTGAAAATCAAATATAATTGCCTTCTCCATCACTTACTGCTCTCATTCATTAACAATCGTTTGTTGCTTTCTGTTGCTATTTGTGCATCATTTTTTTATCTATTTTCGGCATCAGTTGGTTAACATTCCAGGTATTTTTAATGAATTTTGCCGTGTTTTACTTGGTATCTGGTATTGTTGTTTAATATGTAAATACACTGTAATGATATTAATGTATGCTTTTTTGGTTAAATAGTATCCTTTCATACTATATTTTGATATATTGTTAATAAATGTTACTGTTATAGGTTCCTCATTATTATTCTGTGATGTTCTTAATGAATTTTAGTTCCATTTATAGTCTATTCTTACTAAATATTTGATGTAAGTCATTCACCTTTTCCATATTAACGTTTTACTTAAAGTTTATATATACAGATGTTACTTTGTCTTTACTACAACTAAATTTTATGTGTTTTATTCATTTTACATATTTTTGTGTAAATTTTTTTATACTGTAGCGATGATGATCTTACAAGATCCTTGCACAAATGTTTTTTACACTACACTGTTATGAACAGTGAAGTTCCTTTTCTATCTATCTTTTGATTTTTCCTCACTTGGACCATTATTTCGTAATCTTTTGGTCATTTCTTTTTCAATAATTTTTTTTTTCATTTTATAGTCTCTTTTGTATTTTCTATTCTTATGCAAAGTTTTTTAATAACGTTTCTAAATATACAATGGTTTTCCTCTGTTGTTTCCTTCTTAAAGTTTCTCTTGACTCTGTCGTTTATGTCTCTTCTTTCAGAATACATGTTGTATATCAATTTTCCTTCTCTTTCCC